AGGGAAAGATCACGCTATCTCAGCTTACAGGGAACGCTGTTGCTGTGTGGGGATCCCCCTCTCCGCTGCTGAGGTCATAACTGGCTCCTCCTCTTCCTGTGACACATTTGAGTCCCACTAACTCAGCTTAGAGGGAACACTGGTCAGGTGGAGCCCTTTCAAGGGGAGCCATGTAATTCTAAGCCATCATTTGGAGTCACCTCTGTCACAGTGCCGGGGGAAAAAAATATTTATTCTTGTGTTATTGGTCGTCCGCCTTCCTCACTGAGACTTCAGGTGGATTGCGCGACGTGAAGTCCATCGCTGCCAAACCTTTGGCCAACTTCCCCTTCCCCTTTGAACTCGACATTCATCTTCTTTCCCCTGATCTGCCTCTAGACCTCCATGACCCTCCTTTGGACTATGTTTGAACTGGCTCGGGCGCCCGCCTTGCAAGAGAAGCTACGGGCAGAGATCTTCTCAGCCAGGGCTGCTGCACAGGGGGACGCGGTCAAGGTGCTGAAATCGGTCCCGTTGCTTAGAGCTACCATCAAGGAGACACTAAGGTACTGGTGCCCTGACCTGAGTCCAGTACAGTCTTTGTGGGGCTGTGGCTCCGGGCTAGAGCATCTGCTTGGCACGCAGAAGGTCCCAGGTTCAATCCCCGGCATCTCCAGTTGAAAGAACTAAGCAGCAGGTGATGGGAAAGACCTCAGCCTGAGACCCTGGAGAGCCACTACCAGTCTTAGTAGACAGTGCTAACTGAGTGGGGCTGTGGCTCAGCGGTGGAGCCTCTGCTTGGCATGCAGAAGGTCCCAGGTTCAATCCCCGGCATCTCCAGCTAAAAGGACCAGGTAGTAGGTGATGGGAAAGACCTCAGCCTGAGACCCTGGAGAGCCACTACCAGTCTTAGTAGACAGTGCTAAATGAGTGGGGCTGTGGCTCAGTGGTAGAGCATCTGCTTGGCATGCAGAAGGTCCCAGGTTCAATCCCCGGCATCTCCAGCTAAAAGGACCAGGTAGTAGGTGATGGGAAAGACGTTAGCCTGAGACCCTGGAGAGCCACTACCAGTCTTAGTAGACAGTGCTAACTGAGTGGGGCTGTGGCTCAGTGGTAGAGCATCTGCTTGGCATGCAGAAGGTCCCAGGTTCAATCCCCGGCATCTCCAGCTAAAAGGACCAGGTAGTAGGTGATGGGAAAGACATTAGCCTGAGACCCTGGAGAGCCACTACCAGTCTTAGTAGACAGTGCTAACTGAGTGGGGCT